TAATCAATAATGAAGTAGATGACATTGCTAGTAATGATTAGAATTTTATATTAATCATGTGATTTATATTTTCATTTCCTCATTCATACTTATTTTCACAATGTTGTTTAGTCAACCTCGATGGCAATGATTCAAATGGCGCAAACAACCCTAGCGATTCTTTCTTTCTAAAATTGTTGCCGATTCAGGTGGACTGTGTAAATGGGGCTTTTATATTTGGCAATGCAATGACTTCTTCACTCCTTGTCGTAAAATTTTCTCAAGCTAGTGGAATTTATGGTGCTGTAAAGGTACTATTTTATGCTTGAAGCGTACATTATTTTGTAATTATATATATGTTTATAAACTTTTTTTCAATTATATAGTCAAGGTCAAGATTTGATCATTATAAATCAATTATAAATTTTAATTTCCGAGAACCACAAATTTTCCTAAAATCTAATCCGGATTATAAAGAAACTTGCTTGGATAAAGGTGCACGTTTAGAAGGTGAAAATATTGTTCAAATGTATGTATAAAATATAAATATATGCACCACTATATACTAAATTCACTAATCAAACTTCTAAAAAAGGGAGCCTGTAAAGAAGAGTGGATGTTCAATACTATTATATAAGCTTTTAGATTTCATTCCATTTTTGAAAAATTCTCGCTCAGTTAATCCTACAGAATGGCATGGACTTCCTAGATATCCTTATGTACCATGTTTGTTTATTTATGGTTTTATTTTTAAACAATTTCTCCTTAACAAATGCTCACATATCGGACAGAGGGACCAGATAATAAATGCATTATAGATGATGAATATGCAAAAGTATCAACAGTGCTAGATTGTCTTTTGATGGAGATGACTTATTATGCTGATGTTGCTGGTATATTATTGTTGAAAATAATTAGCAAATATGTGCATTAGAGATCATTAGAAATATATATTTATTATTCATTTTGTATATAGGTAGGGTTCCTCAAATGCCATTACCAAATGCAGATGACATAGATATTGGTAATGGTGATTTATCTCCAGAG